AGAAATAAGTTGACTTTTTCAAATAACCAATCTAACTAAATTGTATAAGAAAATAAGTATATAAAAAGTTTGGCAAAAATCAAGTTCTCCTCAAAGTGCTTTTCTGTGCTAGGTAGTTATTAATTTCAGTGTATTCGTAGTGGCCAGCAAAGTGGATTGATTGAAGTTAGACATCAATACCATTATGCTGTCCCAGTGGACCTTAGAGTAAGCTCTAGCTCCGAGTCCCACATACGGGGTCGTGTATACTCACTGTTGAGAGGTCCCATACTAGGACGAAATCGCCGTTTTCAATGGTTGTCTAATATTGATCGGTTCATGATTTCGATGAAAACCAACTATTTTCATAACCCTATACTTACAACTATAAACGTCCTTGAACACCCATTATTTGGTAAACGTTGTTAGCACATTCTGAAATGTTGGTCTATTTGTCTTCCTTCTCAATCCTGTTACTTAGTAACATGCACTGTTAAGAACTTCAAAGTATGTTTTAAGACAAATAAAAGCCATATAATTGTACTGAGTTATTTAAATATAAATACTGGGTTGTTTGTCTAAGTTGACTGTTAGCTGTAGAATTGTTCATGTACCAGTAGGATGTTTAGTAACTTGCATGCTTTAATAGTCCAAAATTAACTCAAGCTCTCCGTATGCATAGAGCTCAACAATAAAAGATTTAATCTAAATTTGATAAAAAATGTTCTGGGTGTCTTTCTAATACTTGTAAAATCTGATTCAGACAAATGAATTCTTACCGATTAGCTGAAAAAGCGATGAGAGTAAAGCCCTTTAGTAAAGAATTAATAAAAAGCAATCTGATTCGTTTCACTAAATAATTTTAAATGTTTTACAAATTCATGTGAATAATATTATGGATAGTCAGTATTTTATTCACTTTTGATCAAACGCAACTAGTATGTTGTAACAGAAGGAATAATATAGGATTAGTGTGGGCGATGATGATTACCCACAAATCCAGATTATCGACTGGATTGATATTAAAAGGCTACAAGTGATTAGCACAAATCTCTCACATATCAACACAGGTATATGAACGAAGAATATTCCTTTCAGTAAATTTTCTTCAGGTTCAACGGTTATACGTTCAAATTAATAATAAAATTGACTAATAGTCATAGAATGGGATAAAAATTATTTTTAAAAATATTGTACATTCACATATCTATGTTTTAATATAACGGGAGGATTGAAACAATTTTGGAGCAGTAAAATTATATATTTATACACAAAATATTTAGCATGAAATAAGCAGAAATAAAGGTAAATTATCCCAATCCTCTCTCTTTGTATCCTATTCATCAGTTTGTAAATTTAAGAACTAATTATTACGTTTATATGTCGTCTGACATATTATAACGCAAAGAGCAATTTACGTGATTATCTCATAATTTATAGACTATTTTTTATACAAAGGTATTTATGGACTGAATTAGAATTTTATTTAAACAGAAGAATTTTGACGGAAAATTATCCAAATTTTATATGACTACTAATCTGATGGTAGCATCTATTCGTATACTCATATTCAGAATTAACTGTATATCCTGTGGCTATCGAAACTACTGGAAAACATGAAACAAAGTCAAAAACACCATTTTAAGTTTGATTGCTTTTACCACTAAACAAATGCCTTGATAAAATTCAATGTAGTGTAATCCGACAAACTGGTAGTAAAATAACCTATGGATAATATATGTTTGTTAAAAGTTTCAAATATAAGGTGTTGTTATTCAATAAACCAATAACGTAATATGTGTAGGAAGAGAGCTTATTTCAAATAACTGATTAATTTTACTTAATACATTTTTGTCATTTAAGTTTGATATGACCCAGACACTTTAACATGTTAATTCTATGTATACAGCTATTTATGTAAGTACACAGAGTTATTATTCTGAAGAATTCAGTTGAATTTCAATTGCTTGAATATATGGAGATATATACGAATTTATTTTTAGTAAAGACTTAAAAAATACTTTTCAACTTAAAATATAAGATAGAAAGAAAAGGCTAAGTTCATATCACAGCATGATGAATTATAGGCTTGAATCAATTTAAAAAAGAACTAAATATATCACATGAACTAGATATGATGATAAATTTTGAATATTTCGGTTCACTATTTGATTGTGTCACCAATCCCCAATACTTATACATTTCGAACCTGGTTGTAGTACAAAACTAATCACAAATTCAAACAAACAAACCTATACAAATACATTTTATCTAAAAATCAGAAAGAACTTGAAGTTTTATTAAGGAGATATTGTATTTGAAATTGTGTTCTTAAATTTCTCCTATATCATATTACATGTTTGCATGAATGATTTATTATGAAGATTAGTTCAATGATAGTTCTTAAGGCTAGGTTGTATGTTCATACAATTCCTGAAACAAGCAGTCTCATATATACTAAAATTCCTGTAAATAATAAGTTTTAAAATATATTTAAAAAAACTGAAAGATATAAAAGGAACATATATTTACTTACAATACAAGATTTGATCGTATTTTCTTCAGGTAAACCTGTATAGGAACAGACTGAACAGTTTCACCAAAAAAAACAACAAAAATTTGAAGTTGGAGATGTTCACCAAATTAATGCTATCTGTAATTCAGTTAAAAATAGGATATGTAAGTGGTTATAGATGACGTGAGTGGACTAGCACGAAACATAGGTCTAGAAGTTCTTGTTAATCTCCTTTAATCAACTAACACCTCAACATAGAGGATACCATGTCAAGTCACTTATACGAGTGACCATTCAGCAACTTGATCGACAGGATCCGAACTGCAATAAAGGGCTAGGAAAATGTCATTACTTAGTGATCGATTAATTGTGTAAACTTTTGTACTCGGACTTCAATTATATTGTTTGTGTAAGAATTCTTGTTACTAACTGACCTGCCAAACTAAAGCGTGTGAAATGAAAAGTGCATTTTTAATAATCTATATGTTTTCAGTACCCATTATACGTTAATACACTAACTAGGCGTTTCCAAAGAGTATTACACTAAATTCTTTAATGAAGAAATAAGATATCTCTTGATCAATTTGTACTTCTTTTACATCCTGAAAATGAAGTACCATATTCTCTGCTTCAAACACGAGAAATTTAATAACATATTAAAAAGAATAACAATAATGTTTGTTTGTTAAAGACTTTTGACAACTAATGTAGTTATCTGCTTAAAAAAATGAAATATGGGATGAAGTGTAAATGTGTAAACTAGGAGGTTATATATGCTTTGATTTGTTAAGTGAAATTCATGGCTTTGATGTAAATTATGTCAGATGATTTGAAATTACGAAGATATTGAATAGTTTACAGAAATGCAATATATCAAATAATCTGTCATAAGTGAATAGGTTAGTTCGATTGAAAAGTATGATAAGTGAATACCTGACAGGGATGTGAAAACTAATCTATACTTGAGAAATTGATAAAAGAAGTGTTTTAAATTCAATGTTGCCTTCTTATTCGGACTTACACACTATCTGTTATCGCTTATACAGTTTTAAGTTGCAATGACATTTTCAAAATAAACGCTGTAAATCGAAATCAGAATCAAAAGGAAATTGAAAATGGTATAGATAATCCTTATGTTTTGTCAGATTGTCCAACTTAAACTAATTGTTTCAACAAATAAATTTCCTAACACTTGACATTTTACAGGTAAAGTTGAAATATAACTCTTTGTGATGAACCTCAGCACAATGAATTGGAAACTTTAAAAGTATGCTTCATTTTTTATTCAGAATTAATTAGGCTGTGAAGCACCAAAAAATATTTTTAGACAAAGTAATAAAATTTATGTGAACAAGTGTTCACGATAATATGGTTTTCTCATCCCTCATATCATACGAAAATGCATGTAAGTTTCTATGTTAGAAGCTTATATCAATCCATTTTCTCTGACTGGAAACCCTGTCAACCAGAAAAGTCAACACGAAGCCATATGTACTATAGTGAGAAGTTATCTTATTGAATCTAAGTGAACTTTGAAACTTACTCTTTGATTTTCATTTTTGGTATTCATTGAGAATTCGTAGATTGGCATGGTAAAGTGTAACTTGAAAGAAACTAGATTTTCCACTCATGTCTAAACACACAGCATTGAATGGAACAATTACTATTACCTTAATCCTACAAAATTATTAAGTTAAATATTCTTTCCCAACGAGAAATTATTTTTTCAGCTATTGAGCAGTTTCAGCGATTTGCTTATAAATGTTACTTGCAGTGTTAGACTGGTCCTGAAATATGTGCCATTTTCATGTTGGCTCAGCAACATCCAGTTATCAAACGCTTCCATTTATCTAATTAATTTTAGATGTTGATATTATCCGACAGAATGATAAACTTTAATAATAATTTCAAACCACTCGTGTCAATCGGTAAAAAGTATTCAGGATAACTACCATTTTTATTGGTTTATAGTCATTTTGGAAAAATATGGTTTTATTTGGAGATCAGTCAGTTTGCGTAAATTAATTTGTCAGACACTTCTAAATTTAGAAATTAAAACCCGTAGTATCAAGGAATAAAAAGTCAGATGTATCAAGTTGGGATTACCAGTTCTAATAGTATTGTTTATATTAACATATCACAAAGATATAACAAAATATCATGGTAACTAAGACAGTCTGTAGTAAACGAATGGTGGGGACTCAGTAATCAACCAGTGTACTTTCATCATTTCGTCCTTCAAAGTTAGTTTTCCATAAAATTTACTTTATTGAATAGATTCTTTGATTGATAGATTAAAGTACACTGAAAATATTTTTACTTGCATTTAAAATTTTATTGGTGATTATGAAATTCAAACTTGATCATATTCTTCTTCACTAAAGAGCAACTCAATGACCTTAAACTTTATGGTACAATCATGTACCAATGTCGTATGTGCGTAAAACGTAATTGATATAATACTTAGTATTGGACATTTGTGAATCAGCCGATATAAGTAGGAATACGAAGAACTCAGATGCAGATTTATTAAACACCAAAAATAAATAAAAATAATGTATGAATACATTAATTTTGTATGACTTATTTATAGTCAGATTAACAGTCGGACTTTTATAAGTCGAAACCAGCAGTATGTAGCACATGATCAAAAAATAATTTGCTTACAATAATGACAAGGCTGTCTACTCTCTCCCTTCCTCTTTCTTCTGGTGGTCGACTGGATTATGAAGACCTCGACATCTAAGGGAAAACACGGCATACAATGGACAGCTCAGAATCAATTAGACGATTTAGACTTCACAGATGACCTAGCCCTCCTATCGCATACACACGAACAAATGCAGATAAAGACAGCCAACATAGCAGCAGTCTCTGCATCAGTAGGTCTCAACATACACAAAGGGAAAACCAAAGTCTTCAAATACAACACTGAGAACAGCAATCCAATCACTCTTGATGGCGAAACTCTGGAAGGTGTGGAATCCTTCACATACCTGGGAAGCATCGTCGACAAACAAGGAAGTTCAGATGCAGACGTACAGGCGAGGATCGGCAAAGCAAGGACAGCATTCCTTCATTTGGAGAACATATGGAACTCAAAACAACTTTCAACCAATATCAAAGTCAGAATCTTCATTACCAACGTCAAGGCAGTTCTACTGTACGGAGCTGAAACTTGGAGAACTACAACAACCACCATCAGAAACAGCCTACTGTGGGAGAGGACAAACCAGCTTCCAGCTGAAGAGGAAATTAGGAAAAGACGATTGAAATGTATAGGACATACATTGAGGAAATCATCAAACTGCATCACGAGGCAAGGCCTAATGTGGAATCCTGAAAGAAAGCGGAAAAGAGGAAGGCCAAAGAACACATAACGTCGGGAAATAGAAGCAGATATGAAAAGGATGAATAAGAACTGGAAAGAGCTTGAAAGGATTGCCCAGTACAGGGTTGGATAGAGAATGCTGGTGAGCGGCCTATGCTTCTTCACGAGGAGTAACAGGCGTAAGTAAGTAAGTAAGTAAGTAAAAGTTTCTTTCCAATTCACTCTTATGAACAATTAAAAAAAGAATTCAACGAATCATAACATTTACATTGCAATTATTGCTTGTATTACTCATGTTGTAAAAAAGTACATTCAGTCATAATCAAGCAATAAAAACTACACTCTAGAAATAACCGCAGAAATCAGTTATTAAAAATAATATATATTTTTCTGTTACATTTTCGTGATTTTTACAGGCATGTAAGAAATTATTTAATAAGTGGACTTATAACTGAGCTACCTACATTTGATGACATTGGAATTGATCTATGACTGTGAAATACACCCAAAGGTAATTGCATAGCTAAATTATCTAGTTTTAAACGTCCTAATGGATCATCACGTTTAAATAATACTTCTAAAAATGGTCGTGAAAATGTAAAACTAACAATTATATAAAGACTTTGTAAAGCTATAAAAATTCCGTAGAACTGCCATACAATAGTATGACATATATAATTTGATATGAATGCAAGTATCCATAAGAACGTATGACTTATCGCCATTTTGCTAAACATTCGAAAACGTGCTTTTACATCCAATGATTGTGATGAAAAATGATCTTGTATAAGACAATTTGTATCAGTTTTAATTGATATTAAAATAATAAGAACAATAGATGCAAAACATAAAAAAGCAACTGGTATATGCATTAACCATTGATAAGCAGTTAAACAAGCACCTAGATTGCCGCATGTAATAATTCCATAAGCAGGATTCCATATGCTATTCAAATTTAAATAGTATGAAGCCCAAATTCCATAGGTTGTTGGAAAAATTGGTAAACAAACAATACTACTTATTACAATGAAATTCCGCATACGATTATTATACATTTTTATATCATTATTAATGATACGTGGAATTATATTGTTCTGATGACTGGAATATCCATCTTTCAGTGCTACAAATCTTGTTTTTCTTTCTTGATCTTTCCTAATTCGCTCTAATGACCGGACTGTCTTGAATTTAGCTTCTGGTTGTGTTACAACACATTGAAATTTTCTAACAAAATTAACCTTTGGAGCACCAGTTATTGCATATGAATCAGTAAACCAATCATTATGCTTTATTTTTTGAGAAGATGTACTTGGACATTTCTGGTTTTTCCACAAACAGCGAGGCGATTTGAAATTCAATGACTTTGTTTTGATGAATGAATACTTGTAACAGTGATTCAATTGTAAATGGTGCTCAAATAGACCAAAAAATATTCCAAGATATATAGACAGAAAAAGATAATGTGTTAGGAAATCCATAAATCGGCAGTTAAAAAACATATTTGCTCTAGTGAAATAAGTTACTTCTTTATTAGTCATATTGAAACTAATTGTTGATGGCATGTATGCACTAAAAAATAAGACTCCATTGTGTAGTGAATTGAATAAAATAATAAGCGACAAACAATTCCCATAAAGTCTTCTCAAACTTTTATTTACAGAGAACACCATGATAAAGTGAGCGAACATAGTAATTGAAGCTACTGCCATACTTATATGTGCAACTGTTGATTGACTTCGTAATATTGGACAATTAGAGTTAATTGGTTTCGAATATGTTTCATTTAAATAAGTAATTTCTATTGTATCATCATGAATCATAACGCTGTCTTCATGTATGGAATTAGACAAATCATAGTATGTAATATTCTCCAATTTTGTAGAATTATTATTACTTGGTCTATGGTGATAATCTAAACAATTGTAAATTATTTCTGAAACACATCTTGGAAACCCAATGAATTTAGATGAGTCAGGCTTTTCAATTGCCATTTTTGTCGTAACAAGAAAATGTTTTTTTTACAATTCACTACATAACTTCTAAATTATTATATTATGCCTTGTTATTAAATAGATAGTTGCAATCTGTTTATGATATAAATAAGTACTGTCATAATACTGATGACTATCAAAAAAACAAATTTATATATATTTATATAAATTTCAATATATCTGTTCAAGTTACAAAACAATTAATTTAGCGAAGGAATATATACAAACAAACGCTTAAAAATACTTAATCCTAATTGGTCAGTAAGAACTAAGGATATGGTTGGTTAAATAAGTTTACGTACAAGTGAACATTGTTTTCAGCCTTGAATCAATAGTAAAAAGTAAATGATTTTTTACCTTATGCAAAATTAACTTGAACATGAACTGAATTATTAATGATGGCGAAGATAGTAAAAAAATCCAAAATAAATGAGTTAGATCATTGAAATATGTTTATAAATGTGTACACACCGTATATATATCATGATCAGTCTATCAGTCGGTTTAGCCCCCAGTTTAAATAAGGAATTTATGTAATTTATCATAATTGAGGCCAAAGCTTCCCATATATGACTTTCAGAACGATATATTTTCAGTGTTTGAACATACTAAGTATTTAATTATGATAGACTTAAATTCTTTTTATTAAGTCATTTCTATTCTAGCAAATGTGAGTAGAATAGCTTTCATTTCATTTAAATTATGTATTGAAATACATAGGGAATGAATAGATTCATATTAAGAAATAACAATTCTCAAAGAGTTTATATAGAAATTGAAGAATATCACAATTGATGAATTCATACAATAATTAACTAAATTTTGGCTTAAGCCCTCTTATTGTAAGGATTAATAATTATTCATACATAATTTTTCTATTGGGGATCCAAATACCTTTAATTATTTTAGATGTCCAAGATGTTAGTAAAAAATTACTTGACAGTATTTATCCCCTTATTCCCCATACATTTGTTTATGCATACTTGTTCTGCTTCAACACCGGTTCATTAATTAACATCCAGGCATGTAAAATTGGGATTTTTAGAATTCATTAAGGAAATGTCATTTATTATCTACATTTTAACAGTACTGGTTCAATAAAACGTACATTACAGCCTCCTTTTCTTCAGTGTTCATCCTTAGTTTATATTGCGTATAACAACGACTTCATTAGACGATTCATACTACATCACTGGAAATTTCTTGAATTAAGGTAACATACTAATTCTGATATCAATATCAGAAGTAACAAACTATTTTCTTCTTCATTTCTGTTGGATTTTTAGATTACAGATAATAAGTTTAATATTAGTGAAAATCAATGAATTGTTCTAAATAGTAAAGTGAACCAAATATTCACAGGATCTATAACTAACAAAACATATCTCCTAAGTTTTGAGCTTATCACTTTTTGAAATTTAAGTTATTTGTATGAAAAAGTCAAATAGAATTTAGGTAAAGGCTTTTTAGGAGTTCAGCTGGCCTTCAGCTACTCTACAACTATCCTCCATTCTCAGACAGTGTGAATGGAACATTGAAGTAGATCCTCCAACTCTAGCTAAAGTTCAGAAAGCTATAGCTAATCTCAAACGAAGAAGAGCAGCTGGTCCAGATGTATTAACTCCAGAGGTCCTTAAGAATGGTGGTCCAGTTTGAGCGATTAGGTTGACTAATATTTTGGCTAAACTCTGGAAGTTGGACGTTATCCCATCTAACTGGTCACAATCACTTATCGTCCTAATGTATAAGACAGGGTTGAAATCATCCTGTCACAACCATAGAGGGATTAGTTTAACTAATATAGTATCTAAAATACTAGCCTCGATAATTATCGGACGCCTAACTAAGACTCGTGAACTGCAAACACGTGAAAATCAGACTGGCTTCAAACCTGGTCGTGGCTGCATCGACCACATATTCACCATTCGTCAGGTTCTAGAACACAGGCATACTTATCGGCGTCCGACAATGGTAGTCTTCCTTGACTTAAAAGCAGCATTTGACTCTGTTGACCGAGAGGTTCTGTGGCAGTGTCTGTCATTGAAAGGCGTACCTCAGAAGTACATAAACCTTGTGAAGGCTCTTTACTCGAACACTACTAGTCGAGTGAGAGCTTATGGCGAACTGTCATCTGCTTTCGCGATTTCAAGTGGCGTCCACCAAGGCTGTCCACTTTCTCCATTTTTGTTTAACTTCATCATAGATCTACTGATGGAAATAACGCTCTCATCGACTGAATTCTCGGGCATTGATCTCCTACCAGGAGGTCCACTTATCGACTTAGAATACGCAGATAACATAGTCCTGTTTGGTGAAGAAGCTGATGAAATGCAGAGTCTTTTGGTAGCACTGAGCAACAATGCCAGAATGTTTGGGATGCGCTTCTCTCCCTCCAAATGCAAGTTGTTGCTTCAGGACTGGTCTGCATCAACACCTGAACTAAGGATCGAGAGTGAAGTAATCGAACGCGTCGACAACTTCACTTATCTCGGAAGTCTGATCAGCCCTAATGGGTTGGTGTCTGACGAAATCTCAGCACGGATTCGAAAAACTCGTTTGGCCTTTGCCAACTTACGTCATCTATGGCGAAGGCGAGATATCTGTCTATCAATTAAGGGACGAGTATACTGCACGGCAGTTCGATCCGTTCTACTATGCGGCTTCGAAACATGGCCAATAAGAGTAGAAGATACTCGTAAGTTACTAGTATTTGACCACAGGTGCCTTAGAAATATTGCGGGTATCTGCTGGGATCACCGGGTAAGTAATAGTGAGGTTAGACACAGGGTATTAGGGAATGATGGTAAATCAGTTGATGAGGTTATGAATCTTCATCGACTGAGATGGTTGAGCCACTTGCTGCGTATGCCTGAACACCGATTACCACGACGCGCAATGCTGACTAGTGTAGGGGATAATTGGAAGAAAGTTAGGGGCGGCCAAACCAACACGTGGCATCAGTGCTTGAAGTCACTAACTTCTGGTCTGAGCCATGTTGGGAGATTCAGACTGCCTGGTTGGGGTCCGCGTGACTATCGTAACCAATGGTTGGAGACTCTTGGTGACATGGCTCAGAATCGATCACAATGGCGTCGGTGTATACACTCTCTGTCTTCCTTTAAACCAAAAGATTAAAATTGCTTCATATCTTTCTTTGTAGGAACTAATTCTTTCTTCTTGTACTATCTCCTTATATGCAATCTTTCTTCTATATATTACACCACTGAGTTAACTACTTCTATGAATCCACTGTTCATCTTGTTGTGTTAATGCGGTATAGCAACTTGAATCGATGCACATATGTGCCTGGTCCTACGTTGTAGCTTACTGACTTTCCTATTGAAATTAAATATGATCTTTAATTGATTATATTCGTTTCACCAAACTAATTTATCTAGAATTTATTTACTAAAACTAAGTAAAATGAATAATTGTAACAGTCTTCTAAAAAAATGCGTACCAAATGATGGCTGTGAGTTGAACACGAAATTTCAAAAACAATTCTTGTTTTTAGAAACCATATTTTCTTACTGTAAAGTTGAAACTAATTTCCGAGAGAAACACTTTTAAAAACAAAATTTTTATCGAAAAATTATTATTATATCTCATTACGGAAAAGTAATTATAGTTAACCATTTTATACAAAAAAGTCATAAAAGCAATATATTGTGTATAAATGTCTGATGATATTTAGGTTAGATATGCCTAGTATTTTTTGACCTACAGTCTTTTAAATAGAGCTTACCGTTTGGATAGGATGAATACTTGAACAAAATCATCATCGAAGAAGATTGTAATAACTAGGAAGAAAATCAATTTTCAATTACAAGTTTACTGATTTTGAGGTAAAGTACACAGAATCCTTATAAACAATTCTCCAACACCCAGCTAGGCTAAAAAAAAGTGTATCGAATAAGACGGAATTTCGATTAATTTCAGTTGATAGATCAATACAATTTTTAAAAGTATATCCTGAAAAAAAATGCAATAAGTATTATGTTTACTTTGATCGCTTTTACTTTGTATAATGAAATCAGAATATTTAACTATTTATTACCTAATTATTAGTTATTATCAGTTTAGGGGTTGTGAAGATTGTTAAGTTTTTGATTGAGATCATGAACCGATTGATGATATACCACCATTGAAAATCTGGAAGCACTGGACGGCCGTTTCGTCCTATTGTGGAACTTTAAGAAGTGATGAAAAAAATATATCTATGAAAACACATAAACTTGGAATCTGGTTTACATTTTTATTTTCCTATTTCGTTTTTTTTTTTCATTTTTATCCAAAGAACACATTACGCCGGGAAATGGAGATAGACTTGAGAAAAATGAACAAGAAATGGATGGAACTAGAAAAGAAGGCCCAGGACCGAGTGGGTTGGAGAATGCTGGTCGGCGGACTATGCTCCATTAGGATTAACAGGCGTAACTAAGTAATATATGTGTCATTCATTACATTGTTAGCTCTTCTCAATAAATTGGGACCAATTTTAAGTAATTTCAAATAATAATTTGACTTTATTTTATGTATTCTATGCAGTAATTAGTAAGCTGACATTTTGAGATAAACCAATAATATATTTGATTTCTCAAAAAATTAGAAATCTTTTAGGATTGGATAGAAGAGTTAGGTAAAAACTGAAGAGATATTTGTAAATATTTAAAAAATAAAAAATTGCACGATTTTACGACTTTTCCATTTCATAACTAGAATGTCTATTTCAATTTTTACATAATTGATAGTTTTTCTCCAAATATCGCTTTGGTTATTATCCTAGTTTTTGATGAAAGTTATTGGGCTTAAATAAAGACTACTGGGGTCAGTATTCAAATAGGAATCTGTATCCAGTAAGTGAAAAAACCATTTACATAATAAGCAATAAATTGACCTATAGATGATATAACGTACTCATAAACATATTGAATTTCATAAACTTGGTTTCCTTGGTCTTGTATAATCTGACTCACTGATTATTTTAGTGCCACACAAGCTTAGCATTAGAAATTTTTGTATTTATTACATTTTTCTACTTGTTTGGGTGGTTACTCAGTGAGTAAATTGTTTAATTTTCATGAAAATGAGGGTTTTGATCCCGCCTCGCCTTATTCGGTTTAAGCAGTCGATGACATAATTTTTAATTAAGTAAATAAGGTAACATTCCAGTCATCAATAACCCTTTGGCTA